GGTAGGGGGTCGGCGTCAATAATTGTGTTGGTCCGTTTGTAGTAAACTCTCGTTTATCATGTTCTTACAATGCGGGGATAGAAGAGTAGTGAAATTAAATGGCTTGATGTATACCAGACAAACCCAATTGATTTCTGGATGTGTTTTAGACTTTTAGTGCAATAACGTTTTTTTTGCAAGTCTGGAAAAGTGACTCGATGTTAAGTATTTAATGCATTTGGTCTTAATATATAAAGTGTAAACTTGTATGGTTTAATGTTAAAAAGGTTTATTCTTATGACATGGCAGGTTAGATGCTTGATGGAGTAGTTAGTAGTAGCTCTTGACTGAAAACAATAACTGAAACGGCTCTTATAAAATGTAACTAATTGAAATCTTCATATGTAATAACAATTTTCAGAAAGAAATTTATAAATGGAAACTTTCTGGGAACCCAACACAACAAACATTAGGCAAAAAGAATATCATTTGTTACCACATGTTCAAAGAGTGATCAGTGAATGAGATAGGATTGGTTTTTAATTGCTTAAGATTGGAAGTCGCTAGCTAGGAAGTTCGTATATGGTTGCTTAAGCAGCCACATGATTAAAGAGGGTCCAATGCTCAACTAGACTGTGGAGGAGCCTGAAGAGGGTCCAATGGTCCACCCAACTCAAAATAATTTTGTAACCTTATGCCAAAAAACCTAAAAATTTTTGACAAACGTCAGATTTTTTCTAAGCTAGCCGAACTAAATGATTAGTTTAAATATATAAATATTATACATATAAGATCCATCCAACCAAAAAAAAGTTCCAATAACAATTAGTTATATGAAATCTTCCATAAACCAGGATTCACAGCACTAAGAGATTCCACAAAATATTTAAAGATTTAACCCCCATAAGAAAACAAACAAAAATCATAAACAAGAATATTAAAAAGGCCTTTTGGTTATTGTGGCCCAAAAAAAGTGATTAAGCTGACTCGGTAATCGGTCTAATTAATACACACTTAGATTGGGTTCGGTTTCATTTCTATTACAAGATCACGTGAGGCGCATGTGGACATCCAACGAATGGGCCAATCACTTTAAAGTGAAGACTTTTTATTACCCCATAAAAAAGCATCTCATCTTTTTCTTTCTCAAAACATCTTTTGCATCTCTCTCTCTCTCTCCTTTCTCCTCCTCCTTCTCCGGCTCCATTTGGCGATAGAACAAGTCATGTACCAATCATCTTCCTCCACGTCATCATCATCACAAAGATCATCTCTTCCCGGAGGTGCAGGACTGATCCGATACGGGTCAGCTCCTGGATCGCTTCTAAACTCTATGGTTGATGAAGTCATTGGAGGGTCAAACGCTCGTGACTTCAACTATCCACCGCCGGATAACTTCCTCGGTGATTTCTTCACCGGAGCTGATTCTTCCACGATGAGATCAGAGTCTATGACTTGCGGAGTCAACTCATCCGATGGACAGAAACATCTTGGCAATGATAATAATAATAATAACAATAAAGATCTGCTCATGGACAGATCCTACGGTGGATTCAACGAGTTCTCACAGAACAAGATCAACAACGTTGTAGGAGGAGGAGGAAGTAGCTCTGGATCTTACTCTCTAGCTAGACAACGTAGCTCTCCCGCTGACTTCTTCAGCTACCTCTCCGGTGAAAAAAACAGTGAGTTTAATACTATCTTTTTATTCTTTTCATTTCATGATATTAATATAAAAGTTTAAGAACTTAGGATTTGCTATAATCGTAATGTAGTTTATAAGATTAAGTTGGTTACTAGATGAAGAACAAACCATCATTCATTTCTAACAGATCTATTTGGTGGGTGATCTGTCAAATGGCTGCTGAGGGTATTTTTGGTATCTTATTATACTGATTACGTAGCTTTATAGAAACAGTTTCCACGGTATTTTTTTACGATACGACGCTATAAGAAGTTGACATTTGTGAGATGAAGGGTGTTTGGTAATTTTTGGCTGGTTGGTATTTGTGCAAGACGTGATCCTCGTATTTTTAAAATGACGTAAACATCCTTGGTCCGAACCACGTGCTTGAAAATATATACAGTACAAATGTGGCTCGGTTACCCTTGATCTTTGGATATTATTTAGTATATCTTCGAGGGATCCTATACGCCAAGTTGCATTATTAAAAATTTAAAATAAAATAAGAGGATGGTATTTGTAGTTCGTGACCAATAGTATGTGTCTGCTGATGTGGCGTAATCACATTGGTTGTTTTGAAGATTATTTAAATCGAAAGCGATAGATCTTAATTGGTGGATCTGTCCTTTTTAAAATTTCTATGGTCCTGCGCATTTCATTTGCCTCGTTGTTATCTAGTAATAATAATAATACTAACATCTTCCACTTCCACCGAATCTGGATGTGTGACTTCCACCAACTAACCGGTTACCGATCTGAACCGGAATCTAAACTAACCGATATCCATAAACGCAATTTGTTTCTAACATATGACGTGAAAATGAATTTCAATTACATCGAAACAATTCTCGTAATAATGTGATATCATTTTAATGCACTTTTACTTTGAAAATCAGACTTCTCGATGAACCAACCAACCAGTGATTATAATCAGCAAGGAGGGTCCAATGCAGGACGTGGACAATCGAGACTCAAGTCTCAGCTAAGCTTCACGAGTCACGACCCACTGTCTCGTATCTCTGAGGTCAATGAGACATCTGTCCACGATGGTTCAGGCCATTCCTTTTCAGCGGCTAGCTTTGGTGCGGCCAATGATGCTTGGGATGACGGTTCGGGTTCAATAGGTTTTACTGTGACCCGACCCACTAAACGACCCAAGGGCGTGGACTCAGGTCTCTTCTCACAGGTACCATCACTTGTTTCGATATAGGATTTTATTTTACTATAATATTTTGTCAGCAGTTAGGTATCATTCACATGTTATGTTAGGATTTTAATTTCACATACAAATATTTTTTTTTTACACGTTACATTATAATTTTGAATGCAATAACTATTTTCTTGCCATAATATATACTGTTGTTGATCGTATGAAGGGGCAAACACTTACGGAATCTCTTTTAATTATCATTGCTTTTACAGTATAGTCTTCCTTCAGATACGTCAATGAACTACATGGATAACTACATGCAGCTTCCCGAAGATTCTGTACCATGCAAAGTTCGGGCCAAACGTGGCTTCGCCACCCACCCTAGAAGCATCGCCGAGCGGGTCAGTTCAACACACTCTTTTCTTTTGTAGCAAGTAGCAACCGAGTTAACAATATCGTTGCTTATCTATCACAATTCAGCAATGAATAACCTAACAATTATATGTCGCTGAAAACATATTTAGTATTTCTTGTTTATATATATAGAGAGACTGATGAATGATGATATATGCAGGAGAGGAGAACGAGAATAAGTGGTAGACTAAAGAAGTTACAAGATCTTGTCCCCAACATGGATAAGGTTTCTCTTCACTTTTGAATCATATCAAATTTAGTGTATTGTGGTAACATGTTTATTTACTTGTGTGATATTATTATTAGCAAACAAGCTATTCTGACATGCTGGATTTAGCTGTACAACATATCAAAGGCCTTCAGACCCAACTTCAGGTCCCCTACCGGCTTATTTTTCTATTTACATCAGATGAATCCATTTTTAGAGTTCTCTATAAATTCATTGATATATATATACTTATACGTTTTCATCTACAAACGCATGCAGACTTTGAAGAAAGAACAAGAGAATTGCACGTGTGAATGCAGTGAGAGACCAAGCTAGCCTAGCTGTTAAACAAGCCTAACGGTAGGGATGCAGTGAGAGACCAAGCTAGCTAGCTGCAACCCTAACGGTGGGGATCATTCTAAGTTTATCAGATGTTTTGATATTATAAGAGAATTAGAGAAATGTAAATAAATAGATGATCAATTGCCTAATTCTCTTATAAGCTTCCTTCAGTCGTAATCATTACAAGATCGAAACAGTGCCAATTGTCCATTACATTTTTCTTCAAGTGTTATTTTCTGAATATTTGGAATAACTCGAACTATAAGTGACAATTATTTATTTTTAATGTTCTACGTCCTTTTCTTCCAGATTCAGTTTTCATTAAATAATATGTCAATTTGTTTAGTTGCATATTAAATCATTTTGAGTCCAATGCAGACTATTAATTACTCCAGCCCTCACCAATTTGATCTGCCACCTCTTTCTTGATCTTTTCCAATGCGAATAAATCGTCAATAAAATGCATTACTCTGCAGCAAGGAAACATATGACTTCATAAGAAACCATTATGTGGTAAATACATTTCACGATTTTACTTTGTTAATCATAATTCAAGACGTAAATCTAACCTTCCAGAGTACTGAAAGCATTTATAATCTTCCAGATATAATCTATGAACCAATGGTGAAGAAGGTACATTTCAAGAAAAGTTCTAAGTTCTCAAATAATTTTTGTACTGGAGATTATGTTCTAATAAATCTCAATCTCTTGTTAGATAACCTCACAGGATCCTGCTCTGAAAATCAATCAATTATCATAACCAAAATCAAGATATATTCCAGTGAGGCATATTGCTTTTAATTGTGATACTTCACTCCATGAGAATATCACTAGACATGGTGGAGAACTAATTCACATGTTACTTTACAATTGAAAAAAAAAGAAAACAGAATAGGTTCTAGGATGCACTTTCACTTCAGTCAGAATCTTAAGATTTGGTCTCTAACCAAAACATATTTTCTATCTGTTTGACATTAGTATTTGCTGTAAGCATTGTTTGCCAATTAATCAATCTTTTAGCCTTTACCATGTCTTTTTGGGTTCACTTTAACTAGAGAAGTGACTACAAGCTAGGAAAACTTGTGCTATTATCAGTGAGAACAGAAAGAAAGAGGACCAAACACTAATCTGGTAGCAAAAGTCTTCATCACAAGAAACCAATTTTGCGCAGTTAACCCACATGATATCACTGCCTGTGTCTAATGAAAACTCAAGAACAAACTTGCAGAACATTTTTTTATAGAAGAAAACTTACATGGTTATATAATAATGAATAAAAACATCCTTCGCAACACACATTAATGTATCCATGTTTTCTCTACTTTTACAAATTGCAAATACAACAATTCAATACAACATACATACAGAAAATAATAAAAATTTCGTTTTGTATAAGTTCTACAGGGACAAGCCCTAAATAAAAAGCTCACACTTATTACGTAAAACACTTCTCAAGTGAAGCAAAGGGACTTGAGAACATACGGAGACTTAGGAAGTGGAAGAAGAAGGTGCAGTTGCAGGGTTAAATGCTTTCTGCTCAGCGCAACTGAGCTCCTCATTTGGCCCCGCGTCTTCTCTTCCAATACCCAAAAGGTCGAGGAAGTACAAGTAGTGTGAGACAATGTTGCTCATTGGCTCAATGTCACCTTGACCACATGTGTACTCTCCGTACAGAACGTTCATGGTGGTACCAAAAGTCGGTCCACGTTTGGACAATGTGTCATTCTTTGTCGGTTTCCAGTTTCCAACGAAGATATCGTGAGCCGAAGGTTGACGTTTCTTAATTGGTGTCATCCATCTCCAGATTGCAGCTTGGAAGGCAAGTGTTGCGTTCTGCTCAATGTACTCAGGGTGGTTCAAGAGATCGGCTTTTAAGGCTTCCCCAGCTGCTCCGTAGTTGAAGTTCCTTCAAGTAATAACAATACTTAAGACCTCTGATGATACTTGACATTGAGTACATAAGAAGACATGAAATGAATACCAGTAAATGGGTAAAGCACCACGTCCGTAGTACTCAGCTCCAGGGCTGCAAGGGTACTTGAATTTCCAGGACTCGTCACAGTAAGATTGCATTGGACTCATCTCTCTGTTATAGCAAAGACCCCAAGCTAAAGGCCCTCCTGTTGCCACTCCGTATCCACCTATATAAGAACAACACAGTAACACTCATATGCTAATGCAAAGCTGCTTGTAACACACTAAACACACAAAATCCATCTAGAGAGTTCCCATTTTGAACGAATGTAAATGTCTGAGCGTGATCAGATTAACAAGATGAAAAAGCAACCATTATTTCTACACATAGCATCATCCAAAAATGTCAATTTTGAGGAATAAGCACATATCTATTTATAGACAGAACTAAAAATCAAAAGCTTGAAGAGAAACTGACAGGAAGTTTTGCTGGCGACATGACCAAGAAAAGCAGCCATTTCTTTCTGACCCATGAGCTTTCCACCAGTGGTACCAAACCCAAGAGGCTCAAAGAGAGCAGCAGCGGTAATGAAAGACTGGTAGTCCCAGAAACCAACAGCATGAGCTATGGGTGTGTTTCTTTTAGCAAAGAGCTGCTCAAACTGGTAAACCTGAAAGTAATCTGATATCGTCTGGTTACAGCAGTATTCAGACCACCAGACACATTCCCATCCCTGCGTGCAAACTTTCTTCCCCTTCACTTTCTTCACTTTAATCGTCTTGTCTTCCCCATTTGCAACCAAAAGAAGACAAGATACAGCCAGCAGAACAATAATATAGACTGAAACGCTACGGATCGTCACCATAGCTTACAAGGATTAATTATCCGCTACAAGATCATTAAAAAAAAACAAATTAGACAGCTTAGTGTTTATAAGTAAAAATAAAAAAGCTTAGTGTTTGTCTTGTCTGAATCATAATAAGTAACAATACAAAAACAGCTTAGTGTTTGTCTTGTCTGAATCAAAATTAGTAACAATACAAAAACATGGAGCTCTCTGGTTTCTAGTAACATCATAACAAATTAGAGAGGATGATGTAAAAGATTAGAATAGTTCAATGTAGATCAGAGATTGTCAGATTACAAAATCAATCAGCTTATACAAAATCTCAAGATTAAGATGTGAATCGTTACCAATGTTTAAAACCAAGTAATAGAGGAGTAGAGCTTTACCTGCAATGCTACTGCTAAGCTAGATCCAGAGAGCTTACAAAACTTCCTTTTTGTTTTGTTTTGCTTCGTTGCCGAACATGTAAGAGATTCCTCAGGGGAACGAGAGAGGAAGGAGTAAACTAAAGGTGGTGATGGGTCAGCGGTCTCTATCAACCGTTGGATTAGAGTTTAAGCAACGGTGAAGATTGCGTTTGGTGGGATGCATGTGTCGGTATGAGAAGACAGGCTGGTAAGTGGTGTGGGCCCCTAATTAAGTGAAGTGGAGCCTTCCAAGTTCCACCGACGGCTGCAGCAGACCTAAAAAAATCTCTTTGGTTGTGGTTTAACCAACCGGTTTATTACGGTTTGATCTAGTCGGGTTATGATGTACGGCCCAATGGGCTTTTAAGTTAAGGCCCTTTTTGAATAATAAAAAACAGAAGCTTTACACTTGTTGTACTTTCGTCAACAAAAGGTTTGCTTTTGTCTCCTTTCGCTGTGTTGCATAGGATTGTGTTAGATAATATACTCTTTGTTACACATTTGGTTTCTGTTATAACTTGGTATTGTTATACTTGTATATGCAGAGCTCAGACTAAAGCAATAACGTGTCCCAAACCAACACTTGCATCGACAGTCCCTGCTTTGTGTAATGCGCATTTCCAGAAAGCTCAAAAGGATGTTGCCTAAGGCTTTGAAGGATGCTGGTCAGCATGTTTCTTCAGCAAACAAGCCTCCCGGGCTCACCCTAAACTCCATGACATTGTAGCTGCGTTTGTGCATCATATTCAAGCGAAAAGAAAGAATTCATGGAGAGAGAGTAAACTAAGAAGTTCGGTCAAAGAAGAAATTACAAGCTAAGTGGAGCCGTCTACAGTTGCAGAGAAATAACTTGTTTACACGGTTGTGCGAAGAAGCAGAAGGCAAGATATTAACTGGCGTATTATACCATCATGAGTCAGAGAAACGGGCAGCTGATCTTGATATGATTAGCTATAGTCATAGATATGGTATGTCTGATCGTGAAGAAAGTTTGTAGATCTTGGTTACACAGAACATGTTGGTAGATTTTCATTTTCTTTGTTGCTACTTTTTGAATCACAACATCACACTCAGTTAACATACACAGTTAGATTAGTTACATTAAAGCTGTTTAGATGTCAGATGTTAAAGCTCTAGAAATCAGAGACTAGCAATGAAATGAGAAAGAATTTGTTGCTTTTATTCATTTGATACCTTTATTTCCGTTCACAAAAATAATTAGACCAGATATTACTACAAATACTTGGAAAAATATAATAATAAAGAATCATACTACTAGGTGTTCAGTTAAATTCCAGACCTTCCAATTGCCTATCTGAGATCTCCTTCTCATCTAAACAATGCCTGAGATTATAATGTTCATGTAAATATCACATCTTCACTAGTGTTCCTGCTTCAGACGTGACAACAATGAATCATTCAGCTGCACAACTGAACGGTACATGCAACAGCTTGTGCCCAGTACTTGAGCCTAGCTTTCACATCATCCGGATTATCACCTGAGGAAACAAACAAAATTAAAAAACATTGTCAGACATCCAAGGGTCTAAATGTCATTTCTAAACATTTTCAGACATGAGTCAGAGATCTCTGGTCTGAAAATCGTAACCTTAACAAATGCTTTTAAAGATATATGAGATAAAGTTTACCGGGGCTAGATATCTTCCAGTTGGCAATCGGAGGCGACGCCACCGGAGATTCATCCACCGACGAACTTTCCGGTGATGACTTGTTGTTGTCATCAGAGAATCTCTGGCTCATGGAATAGCAAAGCTCTAAAGCAGGTAAAGTGTTGCAAAGCTCAGGGATCTCGTCGTAGCTGAAACCAAACCCTAGATCTAGACATCCCTTGAGATCTTCGAGATCGTCATCGGTCAAGCTCTTGGATCTCGTCAGATCTTCTTGGTTATCCAACGTGGAGAGACTCTCCACGTAACCTTCTAGCAACACATGGCTCTTCTTCTTCTTGCTACTCTCGGAAGCAATGACAGGTGTGCATTGACATGGATCTGATGTTTTGTAGCGAACACAATCCATCACTCACTGTGATTCGAGACTCTTTCGATCTCTCTCAGCTTCCTTTATATAGCTGTGTTGTCGTAAGAGTCGATTTGGTTGCTTATAAAAGCTGCAATGAGCTGTGATGATTGATGATGATGGTGGATGTCATATTCTCTCCGCGTGACTATTGTCTGTATTAAATTTGGTGGGCCCTAGCAATAAGAACAAAATTAAGCAGTGATTAACGGAAGTTATTACTTCCATATCAAATAAGTATATTTTTACTCGCCCAAAAATTTAAAGATTTATTGGTTTGATTGATCATCATCCGTTACTCTCAATCTTCTATAATCAGCTGACTAATTATGTTAAATAAGCCGTTTATGTTAAGGATCATTTAATGTTCTCTCTGTATATAGTTTGGAAAATAAAACGGTTAAGCAAACTTGGATTTGTCGATAGTTAATTTGAAATTATGAATAATTAACTCTGATATCGAAGGGGACATGGTTACGTGATGATCACGATTGAGGACGGCGTGTATTATGTATATGTTTGTATTATCATATTGTGTGTGAATGTGAACCAGTGACCATTGGTCATGGACTTGGTTGTGACACCAAAAGATACAGTTGGAGTTAGTGCTCGAGGGGACACGTGACTGATAAAGAGTGGAGAGATCCTAAATAGAAGATGGGATATAGGCCAACAAACCCCACGTCCCCATGTTCTTTATCACTCGTAACTTTTGGAGCTGGTAAGAATTGAAGAATACAAAGTCACATCATTATTGTTGTTCAGCTCACACTTAATATATATATGGTCCTTTTTTCACATTTATGTACATTGTCCAAGCATATTTACAAAATGAAATGTTACGGGATAACAAACTTTTTACATGGACAACAGAGTTATTAAGATTTTATTTCTTTCCTATAATCTTTTTCTATTGGGAAAAAGCAGATAGATTGATTTTTGCACACTTGCACTCTCGTGTGGTGCGAGCCATAATGGAGACACTGCCTGATGGGATCAACATGATCTAAAACGCTTTCGCCTTTTTCCTTTACCCCTTGAAAGGCTACACACGTTGTGTCAGTGTCACTTTTACAACACAGACAAAAATCGTTTAGGTTCAACACAAATATCAATATAAGGCTATTAATAAAATATTAAGAACCATAATGGGTGAGGGATGATATGAAGATTAAAGCCTCGTTTATCATCTTTCATCTAATGGTGCTATTATCATATATATATATATGTCTAATATCAGCATAACCAAGTCTAGATTCGTTGTCAGCTGAAGTTTACCTTGAAGAAACTAATCTAAAAAACTTATATGACAACTTCTTTGAACGTTGAGTCGATTCCAACGTGTCATCTGAAAAAAAACTGCTTAGGTAACGAATTTAACAAACAAATTATAATAATTTATTTCAATAAAAATTTCCTAGATGCGTAAATGAACTCGGTTCTTGCTTAATATCTTGAAGTTGACGTAGACTTTACTATTAGCACATCAAAAAACGTATTCAGTCTAAACTGATTCACGTACCATTTCCTCATGAAGGCTCTTTCTCAGAAGAAACGAAAATAATAGAATATTCCCAATCGCACTTATTCTAACATGTATGACTTTTCACTTCTCTAACATCTACGTACATATGTAAAATAAAACAAAACAATCACTAAAAAATAAAAGAACAAATTGACATAATTTTTACCATAAGTGAAAAGTCAGAGACATTGCCATAAAAGTCAGAGACACTGCAAACCCCATTTCACATTCATCATAATATATAAAACGTTCAAAGACTTGGTCTGCTTCTTTGTGTGTGTTTGTTTGGCAAGTCTTCGTCATCTCCCATTGTTCAACATGATGGAAAAGTCGTGAGACTTCGTCTTATTCTATTGAATTATATAAACACAGGGGAAAAAAAAACTCATGAGACTTATCTTCTATCATTTTGCTTTCCCCATGGATGATTTCGATATCAAAAGTCTTGATGAGATCCATATCACATCGGAGGAGGAGGAGTGGTTGAATTCATCTGAAGAAGAACATGATCAGACCAAAACATCTATCCAACAGAGTTTTGTAACTATTCTGAAAGAAGAAGATATCCAAAAGCGTATGAAAAATGTTATTCAACGTGTTTCAGATATTTACTCAATCTCAGAAGCTGAAGCCACGCTTCTTCTTACTCACTTCCGCTGGTAAAAAGTCTTCATTGCATCATAACATTGTTTTCTTGTTCCTCAAGAAACCCTTTTCTGATCTCTCTGTTTTTTTTAAAAAAAATTTATATACTCTCAGGGATGTTGGTGAATTTCACGAGAAATGGTCTGATAATGCTAAAATTGTTAGAGAAAGCGTTGGATTATTGGAGTTGGATACACCTCTTGATTCACCTTCTAACGACAAAAAAGTAACAACAATATGTTTTTCTTCCACTCATTTATTTTGACCGTGTCTTAGTTAAACAATACATGATCATACTAAAACAATCTTTGCATAGTTCTGTTGCGGAATCTGCTTCAAATTACTCAAACATTCGAAGTCTGAATCGGTCTCTTGTGGCCACCGTGTATGCATTTCCTGCTGGACAAGTATGTTTCATCTCTCAAATGTTTATTCTAGTTCTTTCTCGACCTTATACTAACCTGTAATTTTATAGGTCATATCAAAAAAAGCATCAATGAGATTCCAGATGTTGCCTTGTACTGGACATTAAAATGTCCATATAATATTTGTCCAGCTTCTGTTGGTGGAGACATGATAGAGAAATTTGCTTCCAATAAAGAGAAGACTAAGTACCATCGATATCTCTTTAGATCTTACGTTGAAGGCATCAAAGTGGTACAGAAATTCATAGCACACAAATCTAAAATAGGTCATATATAAGATCGCTCTGGAACCATGTTGGAATCGGGTTATTATGGGCTTCCAACTTAAAACCAATTGGTGATTAGTGGATTGACTCTAACCCTTTATATAGCAGTAGTTTAATTCTTATATTTTCGATGTGGGATGTTTCTCATCAATATTAACGGGTTTTGATTTAGCTTATTACTTTTTTTTGGCAATATATAGATGAAATGTTCTCCTGCCAAAGGACGTAGCTGCGATGTTCATCATACTCCTGGTTCTGGAAACTTTGACGTCTTATGTCTCTGCTTGCTTAGTTTCTGTTGGAATGTGAGTATCTTGGACTTGAATTCTCTCTATGATAGTTTCTATCACTGTCCTGAAACTTTAGCTTCAGTGCAGCAAGGACACTCACAGTCCTTTGGACTGTGAATCAGCTGCAAACTGGTTAGCAATGAACAGTTCTGATTATCAAAACCCGAACTGGTAAAACAAATACTAATCAATTGCCCATTTATTCAAACCTTGATTCCTTCAAATGTTATAGTTCTTTTGGGGTAAGAGTTTAGGGTACGAGAGAACACGGTGCCTTGCCCTAGGTGTGAGCGAAGGATCAGAGAAAATGAAGATTGTTCAGTGAAGCTGAAATGCTTACCACCTTGTAACTATGACTTCTGTTGGTAATTAGTTTACTAATAATGTGAATCTATGTTTCATCCATCAGTTCATGTCTTGTAGTCTTACATTTTAGTTTTTGGTGAATTTTTGTCTGCAGGCGCTGCCGTGGTGAATGGACTGGACATGGGGGAGCAACTGGCTTAGATTTTTACACTTGTACCCATGTTGAGGTCTCGCTACTTTCCATCAGATCTTGAAAAGTTATATGGTTTGTGTATTAACTAATATATCTTCTTTAATCTCTGATGCATATATACTTTTTTGCTGATGTTTTGTAGTATGTAGAGACTGTTTTTGGGAATACAGCAGAATCTGCTGCAGATAGATACAAAGATTGTCACGAAAAGTGGATGAGTAATGAATCGGTATATAGAAAGTTTTCAATGAATTTTGTATCCAATACTCACTTACTAAATTACATTGATATATCTTTTGACTGTTTTTTTTTGTGTGCAGTTGATGCAAATAGCAAAAGCAAAACTTCAGAAACTACATACTCATCTTGTAAGGGAGATATATGTTGTCTTACTATTATCCTGTTTCAGTCTCTGTAGATTACAACATTTTTAATCTAGCTTTTGTCTTTGGTCAGATTCCAGACCTAAGTAATAAACAGTTACCAACTGTGACTCAGCTTCAGTTCATTGCAGAAGCTTGGTCTCAGGTTAGTAAAACTAAAACCAGTGCCAGAAGAGATCTTTGTATTGTATTCTGGTATCCACATAAGGTACCATTATGCCTTTTAGGTTTATGAAAATTAATTTTTCTAGCATATGGGAAAAAGAAATAGAGTTTTTAGACTGCTATAAATACGCATCTAAGTGATTGTAAACTTATTCATTCATGTAATCAATATATAAAACCCTAAATGAGTATTGCCTTAATAAAATTTTGCTTTTAGATTTCTTTGCTTTTTTCGAGTTGATTTGCGTTTGTTCATAACACATAAAATACAGATCATGGAATGTAGAAGGGTCTTAAAATGGACTTATGCTTATGAGTATTACCTAAGAGAGGACGAGGTCGAAAAGCAAGCTTTCTTGAAGCTTAAGCAAGGTTTGTAACTTCATTATGCAAATGCAGAGGACGTTCACTAAAACTAACAATTCTTTATTGATCAGGCAATGCGGAGACACCTCTTCAAACGCTCTACAACTATGCAGAGAATCAACTCAATATGTTGCTTGAAGCTAACGGACCATCAGAGAATTTTACTAAATTTGGCAACGATTTAACTGAAGCAACTAGGTTTTTACTTCTTCCTTTTCTTTCTGTTTGATCCAAAAATGGTGTTTTTGCTGGTGTTTATTTGAATCATAACAATAAAAGATCTAATGATATAAAGCTTAGATCTTTGAGGTTTAGAAGATATAATCAAAGAAATCAAATGAGAAATAGAAAGAACATCCAAGATTTATTGATATGAAGATTCATTACATTGATCATTTGGAATATAAATGAATCTAAAATNTTATTTATAGAAAGGAGAGACCTAGGGCTTCCTAATGACATAGGCCCAATTCATTGTCTAATGGGCCTCGGGAAAGATGTGAATCCACCCCCAACAGTAAGTCCCCCAAGTTCATAGAGAGAGACGAAGTCGATCTCTGTGAATTTTATGAATAGGGTTTATTAGACAATGAATTAGACACATTCATGCCTGTGACGGTTTAGGCGAGTTTACTTTGAACTTGTGCCTAGTAAAAGGCGAGTTTGCTTTGAACTCGTGCTTAATGAAAGACAAGTTTACTAGACTCATGCCGAGACAAAGGAGAGTTTACTGAACTCGTGCCTAGTAGAAGGAGAGATTATGTAAACTCGTGCCTAGCCAAGGATGAGTTTTTGTAAACTCGTGTCCAACAATAAGCGAGTCGATTGCAAACTCGTGCTTAATAAAAAGCAAGTTCAATTTAAACTCGTGCCTAATATACAAGTTTACCGAACTATTGCTGACCCGAAGTCTCGTGTTGAGATCGTTGTATGTCGAGCAAGTTGTTGGTTTGTATGTTCGTCAGGCTATGATGATGTCGAGAAACGCGCTAGCTTGTGCCGCTTGTACCGCTTGTGATGAGCTCGTAGCTGAGAGTCTTCGAAGCACGAGGTTATGATGGTGGCAACCATGTGTTGATTCCCTCTCTGGCTCAGCGATCATAGTGACTCTAGCCAAGCTGGTGTAGTTATTTCTTATCCAAGCCGAGCTCAACGGGTTTGTCTAGAGCTTGTGCCGGTTGCGGCAAGCTCGTTGTGATGATCTGAGCTTGTCACTCTTGACGCAGGTCACATGTCTGCTTATCGATTGCAGAAAACATGAATATGCCGAGATGGTTCGTCTCTAGCCTCCGGACGTCGTTGTGACGAGGTGACTTGAGGACTTTGCATTGTTCTTGGCTCTGATTTTTCTTTTTGGATTAACACTGGCAATTGATTCTGTCTCACAAAAAAGAAACATGATGATGATCAGATCAAGGTTAGCAAAAAGTAATCGGTAAGCTTTGTATAATTGACAAGCAAGTTTTAATGTTTATGAGTCGCAAACAGTAGTAATAATTAATTAATATACTAAGCAGGTTGCACAGGTCACGAACAATAAAACAAGCAACACTGAGTTATCACATAAAATTAAATATACAGTATGAAACACTTATCTTTGATGATCATCGTGAGTTGTTGGAGAAGAAAGTTATTCCTTTTTTTTTTTTTTTTTTTTTTGTAGTAGATGAGCATGAGTTGACCATGAAGAGACAACGCGCTGGTCATGTCCTCTGTTTTCTTCTGTTTCTTTTGGAGCTTGAATCAGAGCTTGGAGCAGTCGACAATGAGGAGCCGTCTCGTGTACGGAAAGAGAGGCATGTCTGAGCTCTTCTTCCACGCAGTCCCTTCTTGTTGTTTCTCCAGAATGGCTTCATTTTAGACATCTGAGAAGCGAGGCTGAGCTTGATCAGAGAAGCCAGGCTTCGTTGGTAGTCCCCTGCGGATGAAAGTCCTCAACTTTTTTGACATGGTGATGAGCTTTGCCTATCACAGAACAAGCCGGCAAATAGAATCAAGAGCTTTAAAGGAGTGTGATGGGATTTTCGTCATTGATTCAGAAGCTGGTGGCAAGATTATGCCAAGACAAATGTGACGAGATAAAAAGATGCTCTCAATCCCTTGGTGATCTCAAGTCAAGCTGACAAGTTGACTTGGCTATAGTTGGAGAAGCACATAAGCTCGTAAAGTCTCGTGAACCTGGTCTGAATCTAAAAGCTTCAGCCTTTATCAACCTCAGAGCTTTAGTGCTTCTCACAAAGACATGAACTCGCTCTCTCTCGTAAGCAAATCGCGGCACAAGATCGAGAGGTGCAGCAGGAGGCCAATGTCGCCATTGCTTTGGTACCAAAGCTGATGTCTTTATCTAAGCTCAAGACTTGTTCTCAGCTAGCTATCGTCATCCTTCTCATCACCGTTGTTGTGATTGCCATGTGAGAACTCATCTAGTAGTGACGTTTCTTCCTTGCATCTCGCCATGAGATTACTCCCGTCCAGTCTTGAAGCTTCAAGAGTCTTCTTCACAAACTCATGAAGAAGCTCTGAGTCAATTCGTCGAACAACTGGTGTGCAGATCCAAAATCGAGAAATTTTGGGGAAAGCTTCAAGATATGTGACGAAAAGCTTCAAGACAACGCAATGAGTAACAGAGCTTGGAGTCGGCGAGCAGCTTCCGTCGGTGGAGCTTTTCTCGGCAAGAAGAAACCCAACTTCTTTGTTTACTCGGGCTGTGAATACTATTGGGTCCTGTGTGGGCCTCATCAAGCTTTCACGTGACCCAACCAATTTTTTAGGATACGTGAACCAACAAATTTTGCGGCGTCTCTCCTATGTCCTTGGCTCTGGAATCGAGCGAATCCTCTCCTCATCTCTGTCGACACGTTTAAAGCTCCTGCCTCGGAGTGGACAGATCAATCTCCTTCTACCGCCTGAAGATGACAAGATGAAGCTCGGTCAGGATTCTCAAGAGAACTACGACGTCACCGTTTCTTGTGCCGACATGGTGGTTGTGGTGAGCTCGTTGTCGGGATCTTCTCTGGGGACGAGATGATTACCGGAGTGGAAGAGGGAAGAGTCGATATTAACTCTTTGAATTTTTTTTTTTTTTTTTTAGATCTAGGGCCCTTCTCAAGTTTGATATGCTTTGAAGATTATTCTTCTTAGCCCCTCCTTCTAGCGCCAACTGTTTGATCCAAAAATGGTGTTTTTGCTGGTGTTTATTTGAATCATAACAATAAAAGATCTAATGATATAAAGCTTAGATCTTTGAGGNATCATTTGGAATATAAATGAATCTAAAATCAATCAAATCCTTGTAGGAAGTGTTCTTGATCTAAAAAGTAAAGAAGATCCTTTCTAAAGAGGAAGTAACTCCTTATTTATAGAAAGGAGAGACCTAGGGCTTCCTAATGACATAGGCCCAATTCATTGTCTAATGGGCCTCGGGAAAGATGTGAATCCACCCCCAACACTTTCTTGTTTCCCAAGCAATCAACACCTAAACCCTAATCTAAATATATTTCGTTTTGTCTCACAACAGAATGACGCGAAATCATTATAAGCTTCTGGTGAGAGATCTTGAACATGGCTTAAGTAATGTTGTCCCTGCTTCAACGTCTCAAATGGCACATAACGAGGATGAAGCTAGTGGCTCGAGCAGTATCCATGACGATTAATCGAGTCCAGTTGTTGAGGATTTGGGGTTTACACATCTAAGGGAACGATCTTGTAACATTAAAATCATTGCGAGTGCATTTATTTTAATGTTTAAATTACTATATATAATAGGGAATCATTGGATGTCTCATGTCTGATATGAACTCTGTTTCGTTTTGGGACTATCTTATAATCTTCCTTAGATATTAATACAAGACGCACAACACATGGACCAGTTGTTGTAGACAGAAAACGTGGAACATTTTTCACTATGTGAATACAGAGAGATTACACAATCAAATGAACGGTTTGTGACAGTTTATGCCCCACTGTCTTATCTTATTAAAAGAAGAAGTTGTTACAGGGAAACCAAAAGTCCTACGCATCCTTATTAAAACATATAAACATACATGTGCATCCACGGATCCTTATTAAAACATAAACGTGCAATCTTTAGATCTTGAGGTATAGTAATCCAGAGGTACCATCGAATCCTTTGGATCTGTAGAACTTTGAATATTCTGTAATGGTGGTGTCTCTATATATAGGAGGGTTTTGTTCAGACAGAAGCTCTTTGATAGGTCCATAAACTCTAGGATTCTCCATCCAATAAGAACTGAAGAAGCACGCAACTGAGATACGCGGTTCAGTACCAGTTCCATTAGCCAAAACACGATGATTCACGCTTATGAATTTGCCGTTTGTAATAAGCTGCACAAATGCTCAACAAGAATAAAAACATTAATTAAACTAAAAAAAAGATAGGTTAGTTAGTAAGTTAACCTGGAGAAGGTCTCCAACGTTGACGACAAGAGCTCCAGGAACAGGAGGAACATCAACCCAATATTGATCATGGAGAACTTGTAGCCCTCCGATATGGTCTTGAAGAAGAATCGTGAGAAAAGAGTTGTCTGAGTGTTTGGTTAAGCCTAAAGTTAGGTCTGGTTGAGGACAGGGAGGGTAATAATGGCCGAGCAACAACAATGATTTGGTGCAATCCATGTCCTTGAGGTGATTAGTGTTTAATCCTAGAGCTTCTGAGAGAAGCTCAAAAAGCATTTTACCTACTTTCATCACTTCCTTTGAGTATTCAATCATCACCTCCCTAACATATTCTCCAACCAAGAATTTATTGATGCATATGCTCAGACAAAATATCATTAAAATTTGATCCGATCTATATTATTCATTTTGATTAGACTAAAAAAAATTCTGATATCTATAACCTAAAAAATCAAATCAAATACTAATAGTAAATTTCCTTAAAAAACATAGTTAATCACAAATACTAATATTTTTATAAACGAATATTTGTTCTGATCTAGAATAACGAATATCCAGAAGGTTAATGATCAAGATCCATGCAGAGTAGAGCGGATTATAGATATCCTTATATAATATTCCGTATATCCACTATGTGTTCATCCCTATTTAGTGTCTTAACCATAGCTCTTAATTCAAACTTTTTTCTCTATTGTCTACTATTTTATTTCTGTATTTGATTTTAACAGAGTTCGAATCATACCCACAAGCGGCTGGCAAGTCCTCAAGTCTAGGAGGATCAGGAGCCATGAAACAAGCTAACGTATCTCTCCAGTTAGCAGCCGGTGAGTTATAAAGATCGAAGTTGCTCATGTAAAACATCTTGCTACCTGGATCTCGAGAGTAGAACTCTTTCCTCACTTCCGGATCTTGCTCGTGAAACTCACGAACTCCTTCTTTCATCCTCTCCAACAAATCTAGTGAGATACCATGATTGATCACCTGGAAGAAGCCCCATCTCTCAGCTGCGTCTCCGATCTTTTCCACCAAGTTTCTCCGTGAGTCTATGCCTCCTTGGAGATCGATTGTTGGGATGGTGAACTGCGATGATGAAGGTGGTTTTGGGGTTGTTATAGTAGCTGGATGTGCATGAAAGATGGCGGGAATCTCTGAGATTCCGGCCTCGAGAAGGCCTTTGACTCCGGTCTTGGTCTCGTCGAAAGCTTTTAGCTGAGTTGGTCGATCTAATGCAGTAGTGGTCGTAGACTCCATTGTTGTGTTTTTTTTCGTTTATGCAAAAGATAAGGTTTACTAACACTTGGCTTCTTTAAAACTTGTGTTTTATAGTCAGCTACCAATATTTTTATTGAATGCTTAAAATTTACTAAATATATGTAGGAAACGATTGGATGTGTGATACGAAGAAGTCTGTTTCTTTGTGTGATCGTTCTATAATCTTCCTTCCCCTGAGAGAGACACACAAAAGAAACCAAGGACCTGTTGTAGTTGTAGACAGGAAACGTGGAAGAGTTTGATACTTTTTAACTAGTCCTGGACATATTATCCGAAAATAGAGACAAAAACTGGTTAGAAAATTACAAAAACCCGAACAGTTTCTATATATAAATCCAAAATACCAAAATCGAGAACCGAACGGGTACCCGAACATTTTGAATATATTAAAAATATTAATTAATTTAATATATATAAAATATAATTTATAAATATTTGAACTACCTGAAGAATCCGAATATTTTTCAGGTTTATCTCAGGTTTTCGGGATTTTTTCGGTTTATTAGACTTCAAACCCGAACTAAATCCGAATTATTTGTGATACGGTTTCATTTCGGATATTATAAAAAATAGAAACCCGAGACATTATCCAAACTGAACTGATATGATCTACTTGTTTGTACTTCTCTTTGTTGAAATTCCGTTGGTCTTCTGAATGTCCGGTTTCTTGACAGTTCTTAAACATCCCAACCCGAATAATTCGAAAATCGAATAAACAAGAAACCCAATGGCCAGGACTACTTTTAACTTCAAACGTCGTGTTTATACGAACAACACACACACTCAAAAGCCCACTACACGGATTTTGGGCTCAACTAGAAGAAAAAAAACATATTAAATACTCAAAAACCCGAGGAAGTCAAAAGTCTTCCATCAAGTTCTTGTTGTTGGAACTTGGGAGAGGTTTTGTCATGTTTTCCACTTAACTTTGTAAGAACAACGTTTTCGAAGAAGGAAAACAAAAAAAAAGGTTATCACATCTACTCGGTTTCTGAATCGCGATTCGTAATCTCACCTTCACAAACCTCTCTCTGGATCAGACTTATAGCATAAAGTTGTTTACTTTCCCTCGCCAGATTCTCTCTTCCCTAGTATAAAGCAGGAACCTTTTTTTTTTTGAGTGAGAGGGTTTTGTCTGATTCCTATAAAGCTCAAGCCTTTAGGGGGAGTTAGAAAGGGTTTTTATCGCCGATCATGGATTCAGAGGATGATATGCTCGGTGCCAATGATATGGAATCTGGAGAGGATGATTTTTACAGCGGTGGTGGGTCAGATGATTACAATGATAGTGATGGTGATGATGAGCCTGATTATGGGTTTGTTGAGGAAGACGTGGATGACTCCGTCTTGATCGCCTCGCATCGCTCTCAGGTTGGGGGTTTATTTGCAGGCTCATTTTGCATCTTGTTGTATAGATTTAGAACTTGTTACTTATTACATTTTCTTTTTTTGGGTATTTGTTTGGTTTAGGGTAGTAAAGTGTATGTCTCTTTGTTGATTACTTCATTTGATAGTATTAGCTGGCTATTAAAGTTTGGAACTTGTTGCCGTTTTTGAGGCTACTTTAGTGTTTTGTAGTTTAGTTATCTCATCTCTTTTGTCTGGCTTTTAATGGCTTTAAAGAAGTTTTTTTGGTTAGGTTTTTCCCCCTTTTTTTTTTCCATGCAATATGCCTAGTCTTCTTCTAAGTGATGGAGTGGTAGATTCAAGACTATTTAGTTTTGTCCATAAAGCTGTGTAGCTATTTGATTGCTTTTCTAATCTGTTTGCTCTTATTTTACTATGAAGATTGACTCATTGTTGTTGTAATGATGAATGTTTCCAGATAAATTATGTTGTTCTCAAGGAAGAAGATATCCGCAAGCTTCAGATGGATGATATTGGAAGAGTTTCTATGGTCCTCTCCATAACAGAGGCCGAAGCTAGCATTTTGCTTCTTCACTATCACTGGTAAATTCCTTTGACATTTACTATGTGATTCAGTTAACAATCTCTATGTTCCCTATAAAATGTTATTCACAAATACCTTTTTTGAAAACGGATCTTTTCTTCCAAGAGATTGCTTTGATCTGCTGTCCCCTTTCTCTAGCTCCTTAACGTCTGAGAAATGTGCCATTTTAGGAGTGTAAGTAAAGTTCATGATGAATGGTTTGCGGATGAGGAGAGAGTTCGGAAAGCTGTTGGCATATTGGAGAGACCTGTTGTTTCAACCCCTGATGGCGGAGAAGTAATCTCTTTGAATTGTCTTTCTATATTGCTCGCTTGGTAGTTTATGTTTCACTTACGCATTTGATTGTTTAGGTTACATGTGGAATATGCTTTGAATCATTTCTTCCTGAAGAAATTCTATCGCTTTCTTGTGCTCATCCTTTCTGCTCTACATGCTGGACTGGTATGTCATGTGTTATCTAGTTAGCATCTAGATTACAAAGTTTCAAAGAGATTTAAGCTTCGTTTTCTCCATGCTTGAAGTGTGTGGAATTCAGATTATGTTTTCTGCTAGAACATTTTTTTTTTCTTATAATTTTCCTTTATATTCTACACTTATGTAGGTTATATCAGCACAACCATCAATGATGGGCCAGGATGCTTGATGCTAAAGTGTCCCGAGCCTTCTTGTCCTGCTGCTGTTGGTCAAGATATGTTTGAGAAGTTCGCTTCTAAGGAAGATAAAGAGAAGTACTATAAATATTTTCTTAGGTCTTATATTGAAGACAACAGAAAGGTAAGGCGTCCAAGATAACATTTATCACACTGCATAACATACCACAATATGGAGAAACTGATTGATTCTATTGCTAATAATAACTTTTAAAAATGATTTTTCGTCCTTGTGTTTTTCTTACCATGCTTTAACTGACACCAATTCCAAGGAAGCTTTTACTTCTCCTACGTTGTGAAAGTTGCTAATGAAATTGTAAATAATCCACTTTTTGCATATTTCTGGTGTTGATAGCCTATCCTGTATGGATTGGCTGCCAGATTTTTTTGAAATGTAGATAATCACAACTTTCTTCACCGTTGATTTAAGCAGACTATGGTGCTCTGTCCTCCACAGGAATGCCTATGATACGGCGTTTGTCTTGTCTTGATTTCACTCTCATTTGTTTTTTTTCTGCTTCAGATGAAGTGGTGTCCTGCCCCAGGATGTGAGAATGCAATTGAGTTTGCTGCCGGGACTAGCAATTATGATGTTTCCTGCTTGTGCTCACGGAGCTTTTGCTGGAATGTAAGTTCTTGGTTCAAACCAACTAATCTCTTTTCTTTTGTTTGATTATTTAATCACCTTGGTTTATCTGTGGGCCTGTAATAAATCTGGAATTCCAGTGTACTGAAGAGGCTCACCGTCCTGTGGATTGTCACACAGTAGCACTATGGATACGCAAGAACAGCGCTGAATCTGAAAATATGAACTGGTATTATTTCGTGTTCAATACTGCACCACTCTTTTGTTTATTTTTACGGCATATTTATGTTTAATTACCACTGAAGCTATGTCATTTCTCTTGAATCTACCATTTTTTTTTTAATATTACATGCTAACCAGCTTTTGTCTCCCAATACCCAGGATACTTGCAAATTCAAAGCCTTGCCCGAAGTGTCAGCGGCCAATTGAAAAGAACCATGGATGCATGCACATGACATGCACACCCCCTTGTAAATATGAGTTTTGTTGGTAATGCTTTATCAATGTCCAAGTTTGGTTGTTAGTTGTTACTCTTTCTCTGTAATTCTGGATTGCAACCTTGTTTCTATCTGATGTCTTAGGATTTAATCTTGTGATGGAAGTGCTAATGAATGATGTATCTTATGTGAATCTTTAGGCTTTGCCTTAATGCATGGACAACTCATGGGGAAAGAACTGGTGGGTTTTATGCCTGCAACCGGTATGAGTCGGCTAAGCAAGAAGGACTTGTAAGACCTCTTCTACTTCTTTGATAATTTGTATTAGTATTTTCTGTAAGTCGTTGATGGTTATTTTATTGTTGATATCAATTCAATTGGTTGTTTTAGTATGATGAGGCTGAAAAGAGGAGAGAGATGGCAAAAAATTCACTCGAGAGATACACTCATTATTATGAACGCTGGGCAAGCAATCAGACGGTATGCACAGTTTTTTTTAATACTTTTTATGCCTTAAAGACACTTGAAAGCTTAAAGTGTTCTATACATTCTACTCAAGTTTCTCTAATTTGGCAGTCGAGGCAAAAAGCTTTGGAAGATCTGCAGAAAACACGATTGGAAAAGGTAACAATTGTTGTTAATTATTACTCAATTTTATGGCAGCTTCTCAAATGCGTTGTCAAACTTTCCTCGTTGTTTTGCTAGCTTGAGAAGCTTAGTGACATACAATGCACTCCAGAATCTCAGTTGAAGTTCATCACAGAAGCGTGGCTTCAGGTTAGCAGCTAAAATATTTTAAACACTGAGATTTATGTACAACATCTCTCTGAATGTTCCCCATTATACCTTTAATTGCAGATCATTGAATGCAGACGGGTACTGAAATGGACATATGCATATGGATACTATCTACCTGATCATGATAAGAAACAATTTTTCGAGTATCTGCAAGGTCAGAATCCTCATCTTGTTGATTGTTTTTCTGGAGTGAGCCCTTGAAGTTTGAAAATTCTCTTTTGTTGGTTTGATCAGGGGAAGCTGAGTCAGGTTTGGAGAGGCTCCACAAATGCGTAGAGAAGGAATTGGAGGTGTTTCTGAATGCTGACGGCCCTTCAGATGACTTCAATCATTTCCGGACTAAATTAACTGGTTTGACCAGGTGATGATTAGTCAGATACTGTGTCATAGGTTTTGGCTGAACTAGTTGAGAAGTTTAACAACCATATAAAATGCTAACTCTGCAATGACTTTTGTAACGTGTATAAAACAGCATAACGAAAACCTACTTTGAAAATCTGGTGAAAGCTCTGGAGAATGGTCTTGCTGATGTGGATACTACGCAAGGGGGTAGCAGCAAATCAACAAACTCTAAATCTAGCAAGACAAAAGGCGGTGTGAAAGGTAAAGGAAGCTCCAAAAATGGCTAAAACTCTGATGGAAACTGAGATCTCTCTCAGGTCTCTCTGTGCCACCATCTCATTAAGAAGCTATTCACTTGGAAGTAAAAGTTAGTTAAGCTAAACTGGAGAAATGTTTGCAGTATTTTTATATTAGCCTCCTCTTGGATTTGAAGGCACACCATTGCACACACAAATGAACTGTGTCTTATGTGGGACAAGTGTCCGTAAGAGTTTGTAATAGTTGTATAGTATAAAAGAATATTCAATGCAATGCCTATGAGCACCAACTGTCGCCTTGGTTTGTGAAGAAGAATTGTTACCTATCTCCTTTGTATTAGTCTCTTCAAAAGTACCTCAAGAAATTTCAAAATCTGCTATTTTTTTGTGGGTTGGTTTAAATAATAATATTTTCTACGATATATAACTGTTTGCAAGAGTGACAAGTAACCAAACTTGGGTGTAAGAACTGTTAATCATCTAATTTACAATTAAGGTAATCATTAGCTCTTTGTTTAAAGTTATGGGGCTAATGTATAAAATAATATAATCTGCTATTTTCAGGGGTTGGGTTATAAATATAATAATAATACTTTATACAACAAATAACTCATATGTAACCAAACCTTTGGGTTTAATAAAAAGTGTTAATCGTCATTTTAATCTAAATTAAAATCAAGGTAATCATTATCCCCTTATATAAAGTTATGGGGTCAATATATAATATAAGATAATACTGAGGGAGTTATTCCAAAATAATTAAAACTTGCAAGGAGAATATCAACGGACTAGGATAGAGATATCCTAACGTCCAAACAGAGAGTGAGGTAAACAAAATTTATTAAAGCAGCAGCCGGAAAAAAAAAAAAACAAAAAGAAAGAAAAAAACGGTAGAAGAAAGAAGAGCAAACGAAGACGGACCTGCAAAATCCTGCAGAGTCTCTCCACTGACACTTTCCGATCTTTTCCTCTCTTCTCTCCAATCCTCAGGTTTCTCCCGTCTTCACGTTTATCAATCAATCATTCTATTAAGCTTCCTTGATTTTTTGAATTATCTCCGTTTTGATTGGCTCCTCTGAGCTCTATAGCTAATGCAATCGGATAATCATCTGTTCGTAAGAGAGAATCTCTTCTCCGTTGTGTATAGAAACGGTAGATTTACTTGAACTGATCACGCCTTAGCTTCAGTTTCTAGGGTTTGGTTTTAGGATTTTTCATTTTTATTTTAGCTAAGAGGTTTAGTAGCGTCTCTTCTATGTGAATGCATGTTTATTTAGCAGTTAGACTACCAAGAAACGGCGTCGCTTTGTGTAAACTACTAATCGTTGATTCTATTTGAATCATACAAGTTTGATCCCTTTTGATTACAGATTTGTCTTTCATTTTGTGTTAGCTATGTTGCTGAGAGTGTGATATGTGAATGTTGAGTGAAACGGCGTCGCTCTGTGAAAAATACTAATCGTTGATTCTGTTTGATTTCTGTTGATTACAGATTTGTTTTGCATTTTCTGTTAGCTATGTTGCTGACGTGTCACGTGTGTTATGTGAATGTTGTTGAGTTTTGTAGTTTTATGGAAGGAGATAGTCATCAGAGGTAGCGTTTTTTTTCACTATGCATCCGAAGCGATCGAGTCAAGGAGATGGTTTGGATGCTAAGCCGGTTAGAAGCAGTGATAGGCTTAGGAGGAGACCTAAATTGTATGGTCGGTCATACTATTACTACACGCCGAACTTACATAACAGGAAAAGAAACACTAAGACTAGAACGGCGGCTTCGCAGATCGCAAAGATGTTGCATAAAGGGAACAAGCCAGCACGGGCATCAAATGCCACGGTAACCATCAAATATGAACATTTGAATTACCACTGGATGTTGTTTAGTGTATTTATGTGAATGAATGGAAAGAGGAGTTAATGTTATTAAGTTTAATGCTATTAGGAGCATTTCTACATTCCCTGAGTTTTAAGTAGATGCCAGATTCTATGATTATTTATGCCGCTATGGAGAAGATGATCACTTTAGTCCAACGCTGTTGTATTGCATACCATTTATCTTGGTCTGATTAAACCAGAATGTTGATAACATTGTTAATGACGTACAGCCAGTTGCATCCGACCTCCGGCGTTCCACTAGGAAGAGAAGACTTTCTGTAAATCTTGAAGATTATACTGACAGTTCTGGAGCGGAGGATGAAGATATGATGGTCAGGATATATCTCCTCTTGATTATGGCTCTTCGATTATTAAACTTAAAGCTACTTTATAAGTAATGTGTAATGCCTTTTAAGAATAAGTTTCTGTTCTTTTCTCAGAGTCCAGCATTTCGAACTTTAAGGAGTAGAGTCAATAATGGAGTTCATCGAAATTTCTCAACTTCAAAAAGTAGAAAGGCCACGGAAACTGAATCAGCACCACGACGTGAAGGTCTTCGTCCTCGTCGTTCAAAGATAATTGCTAATAAACGACTGAAAACAGAATCTGGAGCCAATCAAGATTCATCAGAAGAGAAAGATGGCCCAGAAGAAACCGAGAATGGAAATGAACTAGATGACCATGATACTGATGATGGTGAAGATGAAGTTGAGGCTGAAGACGAAGGTAATGGAGAAGATGAGGGAGATGGCGAAGATGAGGAAGAAGATGGCGATGATGATGAAGAACAGGAGGGAAGGAAGAGATATGATCTGCGCAACCGTGCCGAAGTGAGGAGGATGCCTACAGAAGAAATTAACAAGCAACAACAACCTAGATCTCCGCGGAGAGTGTTGCATCAAGGCATGGGCACCCGGGTTGGAAGGGATGTCAGGAGAGGTGGATCTAGGCTTCACAAGCGCCATCGCTTTTCAAGAACAGATGATTCAGATGATTCTCTTCTTGTGGATGAGGGCCCTGCAATTCCCTGGGCTCGAGGTGGAAACAGATCTGGACCACCTTGGCTATTTGGGGGTATGGACACGTACGGGTCAAGTTCATTGGGGTTGAATGTTGGAGCTTCTGGTTGGGGTCACCAAAGTGATGGTTTAACTGCTTTAACTTCGGGGATTCAGACTGCTGGACCAAGCTCTAAAGGAGGTGCAGATATTCAGCCACTACAGATCAATGACAATATTAATTTTGACGACATTGGTGGGTTGTCCGGATACATTAATGATTTGAAGGAAATGGTTTTCTTTCCGTTGCTGTACCCAGAGTTCTTTGCAAGTTACAACATTACTCCTCCCAGAGGTGTACTGCTGTGTGGTCCTCCAGGAACTGGTAAAACACTGATTGCTCGAGCATTGGCATGTGCTGCTTCAAAAGCTGGGCAGAAAGTTAGCTTTTATATGCGAAAGGGTGCTGATGTCCTTAGCAAGTGGGTTGGCGAGGCTGAGAGACAACTAAAGCTACTCTTTGAGGAGGCTCAGCGAAATCAGCCTTCGATAATCTTTTTTGATGAAATTGATGGTCTTGCTCCTGTACGATCTAGCAAGCAAGAACAAATACATAACTCTATTGTTTCAACTTTGCTGGCGCTGATGGATGGCCTTGATTCTCGTGGTCAAGTTGTTCTCATTGGAGCAACAAACAGGGTAGATGCAATAGATGGAGCATTACGCCGCCCTGGCAGATTCGATCGAGAGTTCACTTTTTCTTTACCAGGCTGCGAAGCAAGAGCCGAAATATTGGATATCCACACTCGTAAATGGAAAAATCCTCCTAGTTGTGAGCTGAAAGAGGAACTGGCAGCTAGTTGTGTAGGGTATTGTGGTGCTGATCTGAAAGCTTTGTGTACTGAAGCTGCCATTCGTGCTTTTCGTGAGAAATATCCACAAGTTTATACCAGTGACGATAAATATGCCATAGATGTTGGGTTAGTTAAGGTTAACAAGAGCCACTTTGTAGAGGCAATGTCAGCTATTACTCCTGCTGCCCATAGAGGGTCTGTTGTGCAGTCAAGACCACTCTCTCCGGTTGTATTGCCATGTTTAAATCGACACCTTCTTGGATCCATGAGATTAATATCAGATATATTTCCCTCGTCAGCCATGTCATCAGAATTGACCAAGTTGTCAATGCTTTCATTTGGATCCGCAATTCCTCTTGTTTATCGTCCTCGACTCCTGCTGCTTGGTGGTGAAGGAGTTGGACTGGTAAGTGCTTGTATTCGTGTGATTATTTTTAAGGCGTTATTATTTTAAACTGAATTAACTTACTTGTTAGCTTTACAGGATCATCTTGGACCTGCTATCTTACACGAGCTAGAAAAGTTTCCTATTCACTCTCTGGGACTTCCATCTCTTCTTTCGGATCCTGGTGCCAAGACCCCGGAGGAGGCGTTAGTACATATATTTACTGAAGCTAGGAGAACAACACCTTCAATACTTTACATACCGATGTTTAATAATTGGTGGGAAAATGTAAGTGTTTCTTACTACCTAAATTCGTTTTGCTTGCAGTTACTTTGGGAGATGATATTTGCATGTTTGTTTAATACAATTTGTCAGCTTGTCCTATTGGTTGTAGCAGGAACTGCTTTGAGTTATAAGTTGCCAGTCTAATGATCTTGATACTGATTACTGCAGGCGCATGAACAGCTAAGGGCTGTATTTTTGACTTTGTTAGAAGAATTGCCATCAAATCTGCCTATATTATTACTTGCTACATCTTATGGTGAATTATCTGATATCGAAGAGCAGTCAGTATTTGACAATCGATCTGTGTAAGTTTATGCTCTACTTGTTATCATTTCAATCAGTACCATTGCACAGTTATATTACTGGCTTTTCTTTTGTTTTCCAGAAAATCTGGTAGGTTACTTTCTTTGGTGTTTGGTCAGCCAACATTTTTCATTCTTCTGGTTGACCATATATGGTTTCCACGCCTGTGGTTTGTTACTCCGTTTCTTAGTTGTGTACCTTTGTTTTCAGCTATACTGTGGACAAACCATCAGGTGAAGACAGGTCTTTGTTCTTTGACCGTTTGATTGAAGCTGCTCTCTCAGTCATTTCAGGCTTAAATGGCAAACCTGATGGACCACCCGTTCCAGAACTTCCCAAGGTTCCCAAAGAACCTACTGGTCCAAAACCCGCAGAAATTAAAGCCAAGGTGGAAGCAGAGCAGCATGCCCTTCGACGATTGCGTATGTGTCTCAGAGATGTTTGCAATAGGTAAATGTCTATTGGCCTTGACTTTATATATACCTCCATTAAAAGTGTCTGACTTCATATAAACATCCATTAAAAGTGTCTGCTCGGTCCATAACCTTCTGGTAATTTAAAGCCTACTGCGAACAAGTCTCAAATGTTCTCTTTAAATCTATATGGAGGCCTAGAGATGAACAGCTTTGGATATAACAGCACTTAAATTAGCTCTCAAATTTTACATTTTGGTAGCCTTGCTTAGTATATCCTGTAGAGAGTTTTCTTAGGATCCTGTTTTAATTATCTCGTTGCCTAAAATAATAATTTGTGGTATACTTTTGTTGTGCAGGATACTATATGATAAAAGATTCAGTGCATTTCACTTCCCAGTTAGTGACGAGGATGCTCCAAACTATCGCACAATAATTCAAAATCCAATGGATACGGCTACTCTGCTGCAGCGTGTCGATGCTGGGCAGTATCTCACATGTTCACCGTTCTTGCAAGATGTTGATCTCATTGTGAAAAATGCCAAGGTGCATTCCTATTTTACAACACATCTCTTTTTTACTTGGCTATAAAACCTTGAAAGTTTAGAGAATGTGGTCTCATTTACAAATTCTTTATCTCATTTCTCCAGGCTTTCAATGGAGATGATTACGCTGGAGCGAGAATTGTCAGTAGAGCCTACGAGCTTCGGGATGTAGTATGTTTGCAAGTTTCTTTTGAATGCATTTCTAGAGCTGTCCATGGAAATTTTCTTCTGACGCCATAATTATCTTTATGTTCCAGGTGCTTGGGATGCTTTCGCAGATGGACCCAGCTCTACTAACACATTGTGACAAGATCGCAGCTGAAGGTGGTCCCTCACAGATACCAGATGATCTGAGTGGATCTATCCTTGGTTTAGCTCCTGTGGTTCAGATGGGGACTGTTACTAGATCCAGTGCCCGACTTAGAAATGTGCAGCCAGAGGTTAATATAGATGGAGATCATGTAGGTCTTAAAAGGCCCAAGAAAACAGCTGATGCTGCCTGTACAGGTAATGCCACTGCAAATTCATATATGGTTCTTGTTTTTTACGTGTGAAGAATAAAACTAATGTTGCTGGATATAGATCAACGGTTGATAATGTTTATGTTGCGGTGAACAGATTCAGTTGCAGACAAACCAGAACACCAAGATTCAGATGTAGAAATGACACCTCTGGAAGCAGCCAAATCAAACTCATCAGCGCCTTGTCCAGCAGAAGATCCGCCTAGAAAAGAAGATGAGGCTTGTGGAGAAGAAGTGAGTGGTGAATGTTCCCAAGATTCAGTGAAGTCAGACGAAGATATCTCAAGCGAGATAGAATCTGTAAAGGGAGAGCTCATGAAGCGTACTGAAAATTACAGCATTCCGCAGATGGAGAGGATCTACACTCGAATCATGAAGGGTGTACTTGAGACTCTGGACAAAGGGCTTGTTGATGATGATCAAAGCCTTAAGCATTCAATTTTGAGATTTTTATCGGAATTCGCTCAGCATCAGGCGAATTTCTGAGGCTAAAACTTTTTTCTCATATCGGTTAGAAATCTTTAAGTAAAGAACTAAAGGATCAAAAGTTTTTTTCTCTTTTCTAAATCCTGGATTTTTTATCTGACTGAAAACATTGCAAAGAACAAAAAGGTAGAAGTTAATCAGTAGAAGGATCTTCTTGTAAAGTTGAAGTTTGCACCTTAATATCTAAAACAGGCTTAAAGATAATGGTGAACATATAGGAAGGATTTGTCGATTAATCTTTAGGTTTATGCTTGTATCAATAGTGAGCTTATAGCTATGATTACAGGAACTATGGATTAGTGCAAACAAAGCAAGACAAAAACCGAAAGGAGACAAAGAATAAATAATCTTTTTCTCATGTCGGTTAGAAATCTTTGAGTTTCCGTTATGACCGTTGGGGATCATATTTAGCGCGAAAAACCTAACTAACTTCTTGACGATTTTAAAGAGTCGAGAGAAAAAAAGAAAAAGAACACTGAATCTGCCTCGCGTCTATATTAGCCTGCAAAATAGTTTCCCAGCCTCTCTCTTGAATCATTAGAGTTTACTTCACCAGCACAAAAAGAAGAGATGAGCTTGTACAAGGATTTACTATGGAACCGTCCAGGATCCAAGACTGCCAAAGACAAGAAAAAAGAAGAGAGGATGAAGAGAATCTTCCACCTCTTCCCCAAAAGAAAAAGATCCCTTCGAAGCCACCCCAAGAAACACTCTCCTCACCTCTCAAAAATCCCCATAAAGAAACGACCTGTTTTATACACCACCACGCCTCCCAAATGGATCCACCGCTTGAAGAAAGATATGAACATAGCCAACGATCCCATCCTCATCGCAGGGAAGCCTCTCGACCTCAACGACGTCGATCCAGACCAAAACCGTCTCTCTATCCCTTTCCAAACCCTGCAGCGAAACGACTTCTTGACGTCTGACGAGTTGAAGATTCTTGGAGACCAAGGCGTTAACAACGGTGGGAGGATTGGTGTGGCTGCGTTTCTCGTTGATCAAAGGACTAAACAGTGGAAAGTGGTTTTGAAGAAGTGGGTTCGTATGTGTGATGATTCAGGGAAAGTTCTCAGTAATTATCTGTTGAGTGGTGAATGGAGTGATGTCGTTGAGGCTAATGGGTTGAGAGATGAGGACAACATTAGTCTCTGGTCTTTCAGGCTCAATGGGTTCCTCTTCTTTGCTCTTGACTTTGCAGGTGACTCCATAGACTTCTTAGAGTAAGAAAAAGAGTGTTATTAGGGTACGATGGTGTTGTAATTTACTATTAGGGTTTAGGGGATCATATAGTCATTGATTAAACAAAAAGTTAAGGTGTTTGTTTTCTGTTTATATGAATTGTATACGTTTGACATTACTCTGTTTTGTTGCTTGATCCACACGAAAGAATAAAAAATAATCTGATGTGTCATCTCTCTGTGAGTCCTAACTCACTTTAATACATTAGATAGATGAAGCACAAGATTACACGTGATAATATATAAAATGTATACATTATGCCGTGTGTTCTATATATATATATATATAAGTTACATGCAAGATTGTTTTAAAGAATGTACCGGTTTTAACATCCGGCTGCTTTCAAGAACTCATCGTAGGGGCTTGAAGAAGGTAACCGAAACGAGTTTTGTTCCACTTCAAGTGAGCAGAATGGGAGCTGGCTTTGAGGTTGGACTTGTACAACAGTCACTGCCTTTAGATCATCTTCATCATCTTCATCTGTCTGCAACACACAAAAATGAACGAAGTTTAAAGTTGATGGGAGGAGAGGGAGAGTTAATGTCAGTAGAACAGAGAACAAACTCTCAATCTAACCTCGTCGAGAAGAAAGAGTTTATCTTCTTCTGAGAGAGTTATAGCTTTGGCTGCGTCAGGTTTGAAACTTTGAAGCACAGACATCTTTTGCTGCTTACCCGTCTCAAGAGCTTCACACTGATTCATCATTTGGTCATAAGGTACAGGGATGGAGGAGACATGGAGACTTTCAACTTGCCGAGCAGTTTCTGATACCTACACTCATAATGAAACTTACATAAGAAAAAAAAAGATCATACAAGTAGTAAGTGTATGTAATATTTACCGATTCTAGCAACTCGTTGACACTCAGAACATTTTCTGGGTTAGAGTTTGTGGACAAGGATTTATTGTGGCCAGGCTCACTCCCACTAGCCCCCGGAGAAGTTTTTTCAAATGCCACTATTGCTGAAAGCTCAACCTGAAGGATCGATCCACACAAATTGCAAAATAAGGAACTTATAACTCCTGAAGCAAAAGTTTCTAATGAAGTGTCATTAATTAATTACCTCTTCAAAAGCTGGAACTTCTGTTTGATTAAGAGGAGAATTAGATCCTGGTGTGTCCATGAACATTGTTGCACCAAGCGGGTGTGCATCATCATCTCGTGTAAAATCTGACTCAATTTCCTTTCTCAAATTCGATTTCTCCTCCTGAAAACATCACATATAGAACATATTGTTTCGCTATGATCAAACACAGCATTAACAAAATATCTTCTTCACTGATAAAGGACCAGAAACTAAACTCATGGTTTCTTTATATTCAATACAGCTTTAACATTAAACATAACTTCCACCAAAATATACGAACTACCATGAATGGATGGATGATACACTATATTGTCATTTTAAAACTGGATAAGTACCTCGGATAATGTCTGAAATTTCGATGTGAAATGAGTGATAACGACTTCCTTCAGGAAACTATCATTTGCGACAACCGCTGACGAGTTGAGAGCAGAACTATCATCTTCCTGTGGAAATCCAGAACATGCAGCACGCAATCTGATATCTTCTTCCAGCACAAGAGAAGCATCAACCTATTCACAACATGATGAATTACACATACGGATTAGAAGACAGATGAGCACCCAAAAAGCAATGGAATTTGAGAACGGAAAACAAACTGATGCAATAGTTAACGAAAGGTTACCATTTGTGCAGTTAAAGCTTCTTTGATAAGTGGGATTAGCTCCGGTATATTGGAGATTTTGGCACTAAAAATGAGCAAATATGATGCAAAGGTGAAGATGGACCTTCTACGAGAGAGCTGCATACCTCCTTCAGAAGCATACCACAAGTATATGTCAGAAACAAACTCAATATAAGGGAGGAGTTTAGGAGAGTTGCATTTACAAGGAAAATATGTATCACCATAGCAAATGCAAAAAACATGGAATCTATTCATTATATCTAAGTAGTCTTTCACTTACCATCTTGATTCAATGAGAGATTTCGAATAGAGAATGCCAGTTGAAAACACCGCACCAGAGTCATAGGATTTGATCTCTGTCATTTGCAATACTTTTATCAAATCAGAGAAAATTTTATAAATTCAAAAAGTGACCTCCCATCTATACAGAGGGAGGATCCAGTTTCAAAAACACAGTGTTGTCAGTTCATTTTGAATTTGAAAGAATCAAGGAACATATTCACTTGGTGGGCTTACTAACCTTTGCCACTGAAAACAAAAGAGTGATATTGTAAGTGCAGGCCATGGCCACAAAATTTGCAGGGGTGTTCTCGGTAGAAGTTGCTTGGATCCATAGGGATGAAAGGAGCATATTCACTTGGTGACTACTCAGTCGAAGTGAACATAACGACTGTAAAAGCATGAAAGCACAGTATAGTCAAGCTCACTATCAAATACGCTCACTTATTATCATAGGAAACATACCTTTATACCATCATCGACATCCTTTAAGCTATCCAAGGACAGACAACTATCTGAGGTCTCATTGTATTGGTCTGACCAAGGCAAACGAAGAGTACGCAGAAGCAGGACGGAGAATATATTATGTGCCTCAACTCTAGTTTCACAATCTGTGTGGGACATGGCAAGGAGCAGTTGGTGAAACAAGGCATCCGGAAAAACCTGGGACAAACCAACAGTAAATCCCTTATTAGAGCAGAATAATTACAAAACAAAAGTTGCAGTAAAACAAAATCTCACTTACTTTCTTGTGGTAAGATACATTTGGGACCAATGATACAATTTGCGCAGCACGGAGAGTGGCTGAAGCTGTGGTCCTAGCAACGAGTACATTAGTTGATATCGTCTCGAGAACCACTGCCAACATATCAAGAATAGGCCCTGCATCCCCAACCTTAAACCAAAACAAAAACATAAAAATTGTATCATTCGGTGTATTAAGATATATAATACAGTCCAACTAACCTTATTTGAGAGCTCTGTGATGCAATTTTCTAATGCACTCTGCATCTCAGAGTTCTGCTTCGTTTCATCAGCAGAGAGATCAGATTCAGCTGCATTTTGCAGGCATTTCCGCAAGTGTTTAATCAAGTCAGCTATTACAGCAGTCAACGCTCCTGAGGCCTGCTGCTTAGCATGTAGCACAAGGCATGTGGCTACATTAACCATGTTAACTTGAGTACCCTGTTGCTTCATTACATTCTTATGATCCAAGTGCTTGATCAAAGAAGATACCAACACATGACAATTTTCTCCTGCTTTTCCATACTTGATTAGTTAGTAACCTCGCCGAAGACAAATTAAAATAAGGAAATATAGCAATCCTGTAATTATCATCTCTGACCTGATTCTTCCAGACGAGACTGTAGAAACAATAAAACAGAAGAGGCAACGCCCTTCTCTGGAGACCAGTAACTTCCACAGTCAAAAGCATTCAAAAGAGGTTCCAGAACACGGCGAACAGTTGTAGTTTCCTTTGCTAATTTGGCTATATTGCAAAGGCAAGCCATAGACCAGTATGAGGGGCTCTTCGAAATATCCCTGAAATGGATTTAATGAATAAATAAAAAAAAACAAAAACAAGATGCATTTCCAGTGAAAATAAAGTTCTGAGAAGCAGAGGGCCTTACATGTTTTCCTCAGTGACAGGATTACGTTTGAAAGAAACCCATTTACTCATGCTGGGAATCTTCATTTCTGACTTTTGACCAGTCTCGTTGGTATCTTCTTGGACCTTCTCCAACTCCATATAATTCTCCAGAATCACACACATAATCTTAATTCAAGATGAAAAAAGGTTCATAATCAGTCACTTGTATGAACCCTGGATGTAATAGACCAACAAAAGTTAAAGTAAAGAATGACTCACCATATCCAAGTCCATTGATAGTTGTGAATGCTCACCAATGAAAGATACCTGGTAGTAACTATTGGTTAGTAACATGTTGCACATATCCTCTGTCAGTAAGAAACAAAAAAGTAAAAAAAACCATTACCATGAATGCCAAAGCCTGCATTCCAGCTGGCCGTAAACGGAGTGATCTTTCATCATCACCCATCTCTTGAGCAAGTTGACAAAGTCTAGCGATTAGGCCTTCTAAGTTGAACATATGCGAGTTCTCAGTCTGTAGTTAAAACAAATGTGTTACCATACGATTGAACAGAGACCAAAAACGATAAACTTGATGTAAGAACATGTAACAATGCCTAAAATATTGCTGAAAAGTACCTGTAAGCTAATAAAGTCAACAAGGGTATTGCAACCCAATATCTGAACTTCTTCATCTTTTGTTTGTTCCAAAAGAGTTCGGACAATGCTTAGCAAACTACACGAAAATAGAGGCCTACAAGAAAAGGAAAAAAAAATGTGATACACACTAGTCCTCCTCAAATAACCAGAATATGCCACACATCACGTTTATCCTGAAACAAACTACTACTTACATCTGCTCCTTACATGAGGAAAGCATTTTCTTGTAAATGCACAAGACGACTTTTACTGATCCAATATTTCCATTCCGCAGTTCTTTGTAACATTTTTGCTCAAGGTACTCTGTAATCTGTCAAAAGCCAAAAAAAAAAACTGAGAGAAGTATGCAAGAAAATAGAGATTATTAAAAAAAAAAAAAAAAAAAAAGAAACTAACCTTTGGGATTCTTAAAGGATTCCTTGACGCATACTCACAAAGCTTGCCAATTTTTCTATCGTCTGGTTCAGCATCCTGCCAAATCACAACATGTAGAAAAGAAAAGAAACATTAAAAACCAATGCGTAGCAACAAAACCACATTAAAAAAAAAAAAAAATGTAGATGATTCTCATTAGTACCAAAGAAAGAATGATGGATAGAAATAATAAAAGAGTTAGACCTGGTTGCGAGGGAAAATTTCAGCGAGCATGTGCTTGTAACGTTTAAGGGGATGCCTAGACCTGGGACGCAAGGAAGGACAGAAGAAACAGAGGTTACCACAGGCGGGTAAAACCCGTCTGGATATAACCCCCATTCTCTTCTATTTCCTCTTCTTCTTCCCCTGCAACACAATCATCCCCCACCTTTTTTATTAAAAAAACAATTAATAAGAATAAAAATAAAATTCTGAGATAAATCAAGAAAAAATTGTACCCCCAAGCAGCAGCAATGCGGTTCAGATAGAACCCTAATTCTACCCGAGATCGCAATCCTGAGCCTAAATAAGATAGGAATCAAAATTAAAGAAAATTGGAATTAAATCAGAAAAACAAATGAAACAGAGATCAAAGAGGAGACCCGAGGAAGAAGGAGGAAAATCTAATCCTCTGTTCAGAGCTGGCATCTGCTCTCTCATTCATTATTAAACGAACCTTTTTAAACCTTCTCTTTCTTTCCTCCATTAATGTCGGAAAAGTAGTGTTCAGTCCGACAAACTCTTTAATTGACGGAATTAACCTCGAACCCAAGCTTTTTGGCGGATTTTTTAAGTTTCTTAAAATAAAGCATATTGGGCCAAAAAATTGTCGGCCCGTGCGCTAAGATACAACGAATGGGCCGAGTGCATTAGCCCAATTTAAAACAAAACTCAACCTTAGTATCTCTAACATTTGAAGCAGTTATATTAGCCTCTTCCCTTGCCCTGCCCTATATAATCAGTAGGGTTGGACTTTTCTCCGGGATTTGGATTTGATCCGAGATCGGTTCCGGATCCGCTCCGAAATTAGGATATTCGAGAGTGTCCAGATTCAAATCCGGATAGTAAAATCTAGGATCTAGATATTTTAATTTTTAAGTCCGGATATTAATTTTAAAAATATTATTAATTATATTTGATATATTAATATTTATACATAAAATAAATTTACTAATATTCTACTTTTCTATTAATAATATTATGTCATATATATTCATAAATTATGTTTAAATATTTAGTTTATGTACTATTTTTAGAATTTTTGATTTTTTTTAATTTCTTTTACGAATCCGAATCCGGATACCCGCGAATATCACAATATCTAGATGGATATCCGGAGCCGAAATTTCCGTAAGACACGAATCTGAATCCAGATACTAAAATTACGGATCTGACGAATCCGGATCCGTATACTTCAAATTTCCCGGATATCTGGATTCGTCATACCGGGAGCAAGAGGTGACCAACAAAGATTTAAGCTAAAAGTAAAACATACTCTATTTGTCGTGTAAAAACAGTTGATGACCCCCATCACAAAGACAGGTTCTAAAGAGTCTACGCTAAAGAACATTCTTCATTAGCAGTTACAACGACTAAAACCCAGTTCAAGTCTACCAAACACACATACTAGTCAGAATCAACAAAGTTCTACTAAAAGATGACATCTCTCTCTCTCTCTCTCTCTCTCTCTCTCTAGCGATGAGAAGGACCACACTTCATGTTGTAACGTCCCGCAAGCTTCTGAGCAACACCCTCTACCGTAAGTTTATCAATCAAATCAAACTTCTTGTGATGTGTCGTCACCGTCTCAGCCTGCTGCTTCGCCAACTCCTCCGCTTCCTCCAACTGTTTCTGCAAACACACACACACACACAAAATAAAAACACATCAAAACCACATTCTCACAGAGGATTAAATACAATCATCAACTAACCCTAATCATAAACGCAGCTTCAGCGGAATGTTTCTTAACAATCCTCTTAACCCTCTGGGCCTTATCAAACTCCGGATCACTCGGATCCATCCACCGAAACTGAATCACCCTCCCAGGCTTCTTGGGCCTATCACTAAACATGTTGGGCCTGGCAGCAGAGGCTCTAACGGGCCTCGGCATCCCAGCAACCATGAAAGGGAACTGAGAGACGGTCTCAATCACAGCCTTCGCCTTCTGCTCAGACTCCATCTCAACAAGAACACATGCGGGGAGCTCCTTGGGGCCTAGGTAGTTTGGTAAGAAGATCACTTCCTTGACGGTCCCGAACTGGCTGAAGGCGGATTCCACGACGGATTTGGAGGCGAGTGGAGTGAGCTCGTCGACGTAGACGGTGCGACGGACTTTTGAGAGAAAGGATTCGTACTGTGCCTCTTCTTCTTCGCGATTCGTCATTCTAAACCATAATCAAAATCAAAATTAGAGCGTGGGCGGTTATCTAGGGTTTGTGTTATATTTTAACCAATCTAAAACCCGGTTCTAACAGAAATGGAGTAATAAACCAAAAATTGATTCGAAGCACCGTCTAAACCGATCAAAATTAAATCGAAATCAGAGACAAAGCAATAATGGCGAGAATGATCGAATTGCATCATCAAACTATTACCTCGACACAGACGAGAAGAAATATCGTCTGGGAAAGGAAAATATCGTCTCGGAGAGAGGAAGGAGAAACCGTTGTTTTTGATGGAGCGATGGTTTAGTTGTTAAATAATGAAGAATATGAGATATGCGATGTATAAGCTTAACTGTGACGGTATAAGCAAAGCCCGTATAGCTCAGTGGTAGAGCGTCAGTCTTGTAAACTGAAGGTCCGTAGTTCGATCCTGCGTGTGGGCACTTTTTTAATTTTAGCGACATATTTTATAAAGTAAATAAATCACGTTCAAGTTAAAGTTTTCCTTTTTTGTTATTTTTAATTGATTTTTTCCTTGAACAATTTGTCAATAAAACATGTATTTTATCAGTATAAAATGTTTTTGGTCGAAGTTTTGTTCTCATTATAGCATTTTCAAAACTTTTTAGGGAAGATTTTGTTACTTGATTGATGGAAGAAACTTATTTGTAATTTACATAGTGTTAAAAAAAATAGAACATGGTGTCCCAGTCATTGAGATTGTTAGAGATGTTATGTTTTATTTTGCCTTCAAGCGAAGATCCTTGGAAGAAAAACACAATCCGGTGAAGTGGTGAATAACACTATGCATATACTGCTTGTATGATCACCTTCATGGATTAAGCAAAACAAGAACTATGGTTATCAATATAGTATGATGCAGGAGTGGGATACAGAGAGAGAGGCAGAGATAGTAGCAGAGGAAGACTCCCTTTATTCAAGTTTATTCGAGTTTGTAGTAACAAAGATATAGCCAAATACCATGTTCAATAGGTATATGAACAAACTCAAAACACAAACATCTAACAGAGATTAGGACAAAAAAGAAAACGAAAAAGTGTAATAAGCTTACTCAACTTGGACGAAAACTATAAGATATGACATTGACTCCACACATCATTCTCCTTATATTATGAATTTCTAGGAATGTCTACTACACATAGCTTACATATATAGATTTTTAGCCTAGATCAGGGACAATGAAGTGCTCTTCATCATCATCCTCATCATCTCTGATCTCTATCCTCGGCTTCTTGTATGTAACGTTCGACTTCATTGGTCTGTATGAATGAACATGACCTAAATGCTCAACAGAAGAAAGCTCTGGAACTTCAGCTGCAGGAAGAGTCTCACCGAAGAAACTCATGTCTGAAAACCAATCTAACTCCCCAAGATCAAGCTGTCCTTTCTGCTATATATATTCAAACAAGAACCAATTCAATACAAAACCAAAAAAAAAAAGCATTAAGGATCAATCAATCAACCACTTCAATCTCTCTACCTTATCGTTGAACTCAGGATCAGAGAAGTGGAAGAAATCATCAACAGCCCAAGGAAGAGGACTAGTAGAAGAAGGTTGTTGCTGGCTTGGAATCTCCTTAGCTTTCTGATAATTGTTTGAAGGCTTAGATTGATGATTCTTGTCCGTTTCTTTACTGCAACTACTTGAGCTCAGAGCCACTTTGATCCCAGTAGCTAAAAACCTCTGATGATTAGCAGATCTAGAGTTAGCCACGTGGATAGATTCATCACAGTCCCTGCAAAGCAAAGCTCTATCCTCAACACAGAATATGAAAGCTGCCTTCTCCTACAAGTCACAAACAACATAATTAGCATACAAATCTTAACAAAGAGATAGATCTCTAACTATAAACTTACTTGGCAGATATCACAACGAGGGAACTTGGTGGAGAGAGAGTTGAGATGGAGACGTTGGTGCTTGCTCGCGAGTTTGTTAGCTGCGTGAATCTCCACGTCACATTTAGGACATAGAGCTGCCTCGTCGGCGCAGCATATCACCGTCGCAGGAGCATTCTCACACACGTCACACTGTATCTTCATCTTTTATTTCCAAACACAGTTCTTGATTTTTGAGGTTTAAATAGATCAAGAACACCTGAAAATATAGGTGAAGAGAAAGTGTTTTGAGACAGAGGAACAAGTTGTTGCTGAACAACTGGGTGGTGAAGAAGAGATGAAGATAAGAGATTTTTTTTTTAATGAAAACTGCGTATCAAAAGGAAACACTATGCTTATTACAGCAAGGTCTCTTGGGTCCCACTCTTCTTCTGTGGCTCTCCTTTCTCCTTTCGGTATCTTTCCACTTTTAGATATTATTATTATATTCCACACTCTCTCTTTTTTTTTTAATTTCCTAGCAGAGATTTTGAGGGAATATTACAGCAAGAAAGATTTTGTATGACTTTCATGTAAAAAGAGGTTTGGTTCCAATCAAATCACACAGTAGACGAAAAGTTAGACTCTCTTCCACATGTGGATTGTTACATGACTCCACGTAATCTTGAAAATGACATTTTCAATGTAATGACGACATAGTGTGTAATATGTTACAAGAACCAGTAAATGAGATATTTTTCTTGATATGTGTCTGACAAGGTTGGTCACATGAGTCTCTATCCATATTAGTAGAAAAAAAAACAATCTATACATTTGCAATGTTATAAAGAAATGATAAGGTTTTGGCAATGAAATCAAAGAAATTTTAAAAGAATTATCAAATCAATTACTGCTTCTTTACATCTCCATCCTTCTGGCTATTCCCAGGAGATGTATTATTATTCATGTTGCCTGTATCCTGATTAAGCAGATTAGAGAATCCACTCCCAATCGATTTCCACCAGCTAGACCGTTCATTACCATTGCTTGAAGACAGTTCAATAGACACAGCAGAGTCAGTCTGTAACTCAGAGAATCTCACAGCTCCTAACAGCTTCTCAGGAAGCTCTGCATCAGTCTGGCTCTCAATAAGGAAAGCAAGATCAACAGTCAAAGTTGTAATGTAACCAAACGCGAGATGAACAATGGCGCTAGCGACCATTGAAGAACCAATATCAATATCAACCTCCACAAAGTTCTCTCCTGAAACATATCTGCAAGAGAGTGCACGTCCAATGACACATATAGCTTGCTCTCCAACAGCTTTTCTCACAATCCAAGGCCCTTTGACAATGTTTGCAATCAGTTTAAGCCTTGATCTCTTAAACGCATCGTCTCCTTTCAGAAACTGATCCATCAGGGAGCCTTGGAGGATAGGCTCCGTGGAGACAAAGTAAGCAACAGCGCTGTAGTTGTCTTTGTGAGGAAGCTGGAGATTAAACGCCCATACAAAAGGCTTAGCAGTATCATCCTCTGTTTGAAACTCCTCATCTATAGCTTTCTTGATTCGGCTGTTTGGGTAACTTAGTATCTCAGAGAGCTTTGTGGGGCCTTTGACCCAGTCAAATCCAAGAGGCTTTAGAAGAAACTCACCAGCAGGTACTTTGACCTTGTCGGAGAAATAGTTTGGTCCTCTAACCATGAATGTGTTGGGAGATGGTGTTGTCCAACTGTTTCTGCAGTCTTTGCTGTCTGGTTTAAGACACGGAACAGCTCCTTCTGATTTGACTCTTTTGATCCATTCCGCCTCGGTTTCAACACCGGAGGTAGCCATGTCTTGTTGGAAACCTGCAGCACGCAAGCAAAACATATCTTTAGATCCTTTTGAGTAACATGAAGAGAGGAAACCAATCTCATGTATTGCAGAACAAAACCATCAAGAAGATTAAAGATTTAAACATTTTCAGTGATCACATCAGATTAAACACGATCACATAATGATTATGTGCGTTACAAGAAACTCTTAACCCTTGATGATCTGAAATAACAACCCTAGAATCAAAGATGCAAATATTTGATAATCTATTCATCTAAGGAAGCGAAGAAAGCAGGAAAAGTTGAACAACCTTTCTAAAAGAAACAGAACAATCGAAACCCAGAAAACTAAAAAGAGGAAACTTTTTGAGAGGTTAAAGAAGATTCAGCGATAATATGATCAAATGGAAATTTAAGAAATAAAAAGGGAGAATAATTCCAACTTCATAGACAATTAATTAAACTAATCAATAGGGAATAGAAGTAAACCTTTTTCAGCTGATGAAGAGACGGATTCTCTCAAAAACCCTAATTCACGATTTCAAAGATTCTTCTTCTGATTTTTTTAGTTATGAAACGGAAGCTGCTAGCATATTCTTCTCAAAATAAAAAGAACCGGATAAGTATTAAGAAAATTATTAAAAAGAGCATACAGCAAACTTTTTATATTTGATTGATATGAGAGGAAAATGGAAAACTTCAATTACACGTATCCTTTTTTGTGGATTTTGTTTCCTAAAATCAAATTAGTAATATTATCATTCTAATCATTTTATACTTCTTCCATTTCGAATTAATTGATGATCTGACAAATTTATTAGTTTTATATAATATTTTATTTTTTTATTTTTTAAAAAAAAGGTATCTTTAAAATATGAAAATAAATATTTTTTTTTAATTTGTGAGTAAATGATAAATAAAATGAAACCGGAGTACTAAAATTAATAAAAAGAGTAAAAAGAAAATGTAAATCCCAGATTACTTAATTGTTTTTTTTTTTATTATTCTCTTGTCTTTCTCCATCGTAACTGTAATCTGCGGTCTCACAACACCTCACATCATCGGAGAATCGTAAAGAGTGGAAGCATTACATCAATCGTCTCTGTATCAATTATGGATCCTCGTCAGTTCCAAAACATCGTAAGTCATCCTAAAAACTTTCTCCTCTGCCTCCTCATGAAATGTAACTGACTTCTCTACACAATTGAACCATTCGATTGAGTTATGGATTTATTACTATGAACAATAGAACCTTAGTTGAGTTAAGGGATATGCAAAAGTCATATCCTTTTTTTATCCAGAGCTGCAAAAGTCTCATTATTTCTCTGTTACATAACTTAAAAAAGGTGAGTCTTTTTTTTTTGTCTCTTTGAACAGGTTGTTAAGGAGAATGATATTCATAGCGTTGTAATGTCTTATCTTCTTCACAACTGCTTTAATGAAACTGCTGACTCTCTTGCTTCTGCTTATGGAGTAAAGCAACCTGAAGTGGATCGTGATAACATGGAGAGAAGAAAACGTGAGTACATACATACATACAACAAACAACTTCTGTTTTTGAATAAATACATATGTTTTTTGATTGATTATTAAACATTCAGAGATAATGCGTTTTGTACTGGAGAAGAAGGCGTTGGAGGCTATTGAACTAACTGAACAGCTAGCTCAGGACTTGCTTGACAAAAACAAGGATTTGCACTTTGATCTTCTTTGTCTTCATTTTGTGGAGATGGTCTCTGCTGGGAAAAAGTGGTGAGCATTTATTAAATTGTTTGCTATTAGGATCTCAGGGCTTTGAATCTTGAAATTGGTCTCTGCTTTGTGCAGCAAAGAAGCTATTGAGTTTGCTCAGACAAGGTTGGCTCCTTTTGTGAAGGTCCAACAACATATAGAAAAGCTTCAAGTAAGTCTGAATCTTGTTTTGACTCTCGATTGTATTGGCAAATTATGCTTTCTGTTCTTCAAAATAATGGAAGAGCTTTTTTGTTTCACTTGGCAGGACATAATGGCTTTGTTAGCTTATGAAGACCCTGAGAAGTCTCCAATGTTCCATCTTGTGAGCTCTGAATACCGACAACAGGTTGCTGATAATCTTAACCGCGCCATTCTTGGTTAGTTCTTTATTTTTTCACCTCCAAGAAAGTCTCTGGCCTCCTGTGACTTATACAAGTTTTAACTCATTTTCACATCGTCCAGAACATGCGAACCATCCAGGCTACACACCAATGGAAAGGCTCTTACAACAGGTGACAGTTGCGAGACAGTGCTTGACAGAGGAGAATGGCAAAGTAAATCATAACATCTCTGTATTTACTCATATAGCTATTTCCCTTTAAAGAATCCTGGGATAAACGCTATTTCATGTCATATGATAGGATGCGTTTCCTCCATTCTCATTGAAAGATTCTCTCAAAGGCTAAAGATCACAGGACTCCAAAGTTTGCTAGGAGAAGGATATGCTAAAAATTGTCATGTAAATACAGAAAGGCTTTTGCTTCTCAATGTCATCTGCATTGTTTTGAAATCTGTATTTAACTCCAGCAAAGAGGGATAAAAGGTTACTCATTCATGGCTACAGATGGTTTCAATTTTGCTGTTGCAGGAGATGAATATTGTTAAAAGACCAGTTCTATTTGGTTTAGTTCATTCGTTTCTGTACCAGAAGATTGTAACCCATAAATTCAAGCTTCTTTGCAGACTAAACAAATTTCAAATCTAAAACCAAACCAGAGACATTTCAAATAACCAAACAGAACAAAGGCCAACGAATTTGAATATGGATAAAAAAGACTACAGACAATGGCTTCACTAACAACATCTAAGGTGTCTTGTTTTTAACATCTAGAATGCAATAAATCCCAAACCCCATGAGCCTCTGATCAGGGGAGAAAACGCCACAACTTTGTAACTGGAAAGAGAAAGGAGATTTTTCCAAGAGACTAACACAGTCAAACACTCTTCAGTCTTTTGCCGAGGAAGACTCAAGATCAGGTCCACTCTCTTTCTGACCCGAAGAAGACATCGGCCTTCTTAGCTCCGCGACACCGCTTTGTTGTTCCTGCTGTTGAAGCCGCTGCTGCTGAAGCTGAAGCTGATACAACTGCTGTTGCTGAAACTGAAACTGCTGTTGTTGTTGTTGTTGCTGCTGTTTCTGTGAATGGATTTGGAGCTGCTGGAACTGTTGTGCAGCTTGCATAGTGTGCATCGACTGATTATTTGGATAGAATTGCTGGTTTGATCCAAAAGAACCATAGTTCATTACTGATGATGCACCATTCGAAACACCTTGCCCCGTTAATACCTTAAGATGTTGGACTTCCTCCTTCAGTGTGTCATTTAATGCTGTCAAATAAGGGAAAACAGTTAATCAAAACTTTTTAGCTAGAGACATGTCAAAAGGCCTTGAAGGTTCTGTTTTACGGTTTTACAAGAGATGAGAACAGATATACAATAAGGGTTTGGAAAGAGTTCTCAAGCAGTCAAGTCTAAGTGCAAACCTTGAAAACTCACAACACATTATATAACATACGCTTTTGATGAAATGGAGCAAAAAAATCTAGCTTAATATGACCAGACGCAATCACTTCCTTCATGTGCTATGAAATTTAAGCTTACATTGCATACAATTCTACATTCACACTTCAAGACTTGTTGATATAATCTATATGCGTCTAATAGTAAAGATAAGAAGAAAAATATGATAAAAAAGTGTTGTTGAGAAAAAATACTTACCATCCTGGAGGTGAACTTGTTGCTCCACTGTTTGTACTCGGAGTTTCAGCTCATGGTTTTCAACACTCAGGCCATTTGTATCTCTCTGGACATCAGAAAGAAAAAGCAAAAAAGGATTAAAACCATAAACTTGCAATTAAATTAATCACAAATCATAACTCGAAAACTAAATCTGGTCTGCAAGGCCATTCCACCAACCTGTAAGAGAGTCAACTGCGCTGATAGAGATGTAGCTTCTGTTTGTAAAGTCTGTACTTTCCTCTCTAACTCCGCTATGTATCTCATCTTCCTTTCTTTCGACCTCGCAGCAGACTGCCTGTTTGCCCATATCCTAATCAAACGACACAAACAAGTCATACACATCTTCTCAACCAAATAAGGAAACATACACACGTATACACAACAAAACATACCTCTTAGCACGTTTAGGATCAATAAGAGCAAGCTCGGAAAGTTTAGCAGCAGAGATAGCTTTCTTAGAGTCAACACCAGACCCATCCTCACCCCCAGACATAAGCATCTCAGGCTTTATACTCGTTGAACCATCCATAGACTGGCTATGCTGGTGCCTAATCCTCGGTCTCTCACTCGACCCACCACCAGGAGTAGTACTCTGAAAATTAGAACTCGACCCCAACTCATTCCTCCAAACCATCTCCGACGCCTCACCCATCTGAGAAGAAGAACTCGCGGAGGAATTAAACTTATCCATGTCAAGATACATAGACATCAAATCCTCATCAGTGTCATCAGAGAAAGAAGGTCCATCAGCAGCACCACCAACCACACCAAGATCACTATCAAAGCTCAAGTCATCAGGGAGAGTCAAGATCTCTGAGTGAGCTCGGCGATGGCCTAGATTCTTAGGTGGGTTATCAGGCATTCGGCTTATATCGTGGCTGAACCGGTTAGCAGTATCAGAGCTGGTCCCACTTGGAGGAGGAGTCAAATGAGGAAAGGATGATGATTCAGGTTTCATTGGTGTAAAGGGAGTGTAACGACCTGATGGTGGAGGAAGACCTCCACTACTAGGAGGAGATTTCTCCTTATCCATTTTGATACTAATCTGCACGTTATGATCATATAAAGCTTAGATTTTAGAAATATCTTAGCTATCAAAACCTATGAAAGTTTCATGCTTTATCTAAACCCTAAATCAAAAAACAAAAACCTAATTATAGATTGTGTTTTTTTCACGCACTTACAGAGATCTATGGAGAGTGGGTGATGTAGCGGATAGATAGATTGAACGGTCGATCTAAGAATTTAGGGTTCTTCGAGACCTGTTCTTGGATCAATCAAGAGTTACTTTCGTTAGCTTCTTGAGACCAACTTCCTGAAGAAGATGAATTTAATCGAATCTTGTTCAAGGCAACTTAAAATAGATGAATTGAATCAAATCTATATCAAGGTATAAAGCAAAG